ATACAAATTGCAACAAAAAATGTATAGCTACATATATGTTATTATGGTTACTTTAGAAGTTACCGACATCAGATAGCATTAGAATTACAATGTACGAAGCACGAGCACATTTGCTGTACTACAAAAGGAGAATAGAAGAAAGCAGAGACCATAATGGAACAAACATGAAAAACGAAGCTAGCTAGCACAGAGTATGTAAAAAGGAAAAGCGACACCTGGCCCCAAGAGCACACAGAATGGTTAACGTGGCCAAAAAAGAGGAAGTTCTTTGGTCAATAAGCAGAAAACATTTTTAGCTAGAATGAACAATTATAATTAAAATGTATATGTATATGTATTTATTTTTATACACACATTCCAGCTTCAGCTTATTCGAGTTTCCATTTTTACTGTGCTTTGGGGAAACATTATTTTCAGTTCAAAAATGTCGTGTATGGAAGCAAATGTAACACATTAAAGGTCTTTTTAACAGGAAAATAAATGAAACCGTTTTATAGGCCGCATTAAAAATGGGAATTTTATATTTAATGCAATGAAAAAATAATAAAATATTAACAATTAACAATAGACCCCATACATAACAAATGATCTATGTATAATATCAGAATATGATTATAATTTATATATGCAAGTCATTTTCAATTAAAATTACAGACAAATGCCCCAAAGTGTTTTTTTGTTTCAACTTTATAGTTCTGAGAAAATTGTAATTTCTGTAAATTGCTATTTTCGCTGTGTCTATAATTTACAATTAACAATGACGAGGCACAGAGGGGGCTAAGCAAATGGATAATAATGTTGGAAGCAACTGCTAGGAGTTCGCTGACATCGAATAAAAGTGTGTGTGCATTGCATATTTAGACAGTGGCTGCCAAAAAGCAAAGCTCATTTGTATTCATTAAATGTAGTAGTGCCTGAAGTAGCACCAGAAGTAGAATTTGCTGTTAGTGGCTGACAAAATCCTAATATAAAATAAATTTACTTTGTCAGTTTGTCAGCTAAATTAATATAAATATAATGAAGATTGGAAATGAAACGGAAGAAGCAGCAGCAACAAAATGGAGTTAAATAATCTGAAATCCTGCTGGAACTTTATTTCATTACTGAAAACTTTGTTGATAATCCCTAACCCGCATTTTTATATTTTTATATAAATCTAAATTATTTTTATAAGTTCAAATTGAATTATTACGTACCTTTTTCGGTATATTGTATATTCTTTTCATTGTGTTCTATAGCTAGTGCTCTCTGGATACGGTACAATATGCCGTGCAAGGTCATCGTATAAATTGAAAATTTCTAGGCAATCCCAATGCGAAAACTATTCAAATAATATTCACTAATAGAGCTGGGCGTATCTGGGAAAGCCCCGCTGAAAAGTTGAAAATTCCACTTCAATTTTATGCGATTCGCCTCAAAAGTTGTTTGGCCAAATTTAGTTTTTTTTTTTCTTATTTGGTGATGCGACGCCTTCAAGTATGCAATGCGCTTTGTCAGCGCTGTGATATTGGGCGTTGCCGCACCTCTAATCGCCCTCAACGCCACCAGGCATGCAACAGATTGGGCTTGTCCCAATCTCTGGTTGACTGTCTGCTTGATTTGAGCCGGGTTCAATGCACGGCCAAGGTCCACAAAATTTGTTTTGAAATCCCAACAGTGCGAGTCAGAGTTCAAGGGTCGCCAGCAACATGGAAAGCAGCCAAAGCATTTAAATGCTCTAATCTAATTGCCAGATGCAAATGCAAAGGCCCAGCGCTGAGTTAGCGCGAAAAACAGCGCATTGAAATTCTGCTGAAATTTAATAACTAAACATCCGCTTGAGAAGGGACAGTATTTAAAGCAAC